TATTTAATAATTTCTACAATTAGTCTATTAAATAATTTTTAAGTTTTCGAAATGCAATGGCTAGATTATTTTTTATAGTTTCAACTTTCAATTAGACAAATCATATTTAACAAATTTATAGGAATTTTTATACATACTTTTGAAATTTTCAACAATACGATAAGTCTCGAAATCATAATTACATAGTATGGTAACTTAAATATTATCTAAATCTTTATCGATAAAGTCATTTAAAATTTTGAAACTAAAGTCAAATAAAAACCCTTAAAAAATAGAAAAGTTAATAAACTGAAGTCAAATAAAAGGTTTTTAAAAAAAGAGAATTTTTTTTAAAAAAAAATCAATGAAGTGCCCAGGCATGCATTAAGCGGGCGTATACTGTCAGGCAAAGCTTTTTATCCATGCCTTCCGTCTAGACGATGCATAGACGCGCTTTTTAGAACACGATATATAATAGCCTTATTACTCTTCCCTTTTTTAATCTTTTTTTAATTTTATTTTTGAAAAATAGAATCCTTATTTTCATCACCCTCACTTATGGCAGAAAAATATCGTGGAAACAAAACCAACAAAACAAACATAAGAAGCAAATAGCCATAAAAGGCACTAACCAAGCAAATAAAACTGACACAACCACCTCACTACTACTGCCTAAAGTTAGGAAAATCGAGTTTATCTATACGAATAACTTGTAACAAATATGGTATTTGATCTAGACGCGTGTATCTCACTGAGACCATCCATCACTTGCCAGGCTAGAAAATCTGCTGCTCTGTTTGTTTCTCTATACTGATGAGAAATAGTGAAATTGATATCGCTAATCAACTTTAATAACTCATCCCAATAATCCAACAAATACCAAACCCTACATAAACGGTTTGTTAACCAGTTTACCGCCACTGCAGGTTCAAGTAAACTTTAATGGCTACATAGTAGACTAACTTCCGAAATTCAAAGAAAGGGCCAAATGATTCAAAGCTCTAGCTTTATATTTGGCCTAAACTTGCTCAATTGGTTCCATCTCCTGCAATTCTAAGTTGGTTTCATCATCAGCGTTTGTTGTAGTGATAATTATGTTAAGATCGGGAAGTGTTGGCAGCAGAAGTCGAAGACTAAGCACAAAACTCATCCATGCAGCAGAGATACAAGGAGGGCATGAGAAGAGCAGCAAAATTACGGGATAGATATACCAGAAGATATCTTGTGGAAAGAATAGTGAGACTGAGGAACAAACCATTAGAGGGACCGAGTAATTATTGACTTGAACGCGTATGCATCCCATATTAATTTGAGGTGTCAATGGGATTCCAATGGAAATGAAGGAGAAAACGAAGAAAAAGCTTATGAGAAGGCAAAACTTGATCCAAGTGATGTTTCCACTTAATATACCAAAAGGATCCCATTCCCAGGGCATGGCCAAATGTGATTTCAAAATGTTTACAACAAATAGGGCAGCATATCTTAGATCAAAGTACGACATTGTTCTTCTCTGGGAATTGAATGCTAGGGTGAGAGAGAAGACGTGGATAGGAAGATGATACTTGCTTAGGCATTTTAAATAGTTATAACGTGTTGGATAAATTGAGGGAGAGAAAAAGGAGAGATTTGAGGGAAAGAAAAAGCAGAGAATCGAGGGAGAGAGAAAGGAGAGAAGTTTCCTTGAAATTACAAACTTTCCCAACCTTAAACAAGTACATGTGCAGAAAATTTGATACTGGGCCATCTACTTGCAAGTTGCAAGCATACCGCGTGAGAAATTTTGACGACAAAGACCTTAATTCTTCTTTTTATTTTTTGAGAAATGTAAAACGATACGAATATTCCTATGTTGGGGCAAACAAGTTTCACATCGGTTGTG